AGTCATGATCCCAGGGTCCTGGGATCGAGCCCTGCATTGGGCTCCCTGCTTGGCGGGGAGTCTGCTTCTCCCTCTCCCACTCCCCCTGCTTGTGTTCCCTCTTTCGCTGTGTCTCTCTCTGTCAAATAAATAAATAAAATCTTAAAAAAAAAAAAAAAGAGACACTTAACTGACTGAACCACCCAGGCAACCCTACAGTTTATTTTAAAGTCTGTTTTGTCTGATATAAGTATTGCTACCCTAGCTTTCTTTTCACTTCCATTTGCATGATAAATGTTTTTCTATGCCTCCACTTTCAATCTGCTTATATGTGTAGATCTCAATCACTTTTTAAAAAAAATATTTAATTAATTTATTTAACAGAGAGAGAGAGACAGTGAGAAAGGGAACACAGCAGGGGGAGTGGGAGAGGAAGAAGCAGGCTTCCTGCTGAGGAGGGAGCCCTATGCAGGGCTCGATCCCAGGACCCTGGGATCACGACCCGAGCTAAAGGCAGTTGCTTAACCAAATGAGCCACCCAGGCGCCCCACTTTTTTTTTTTTTTAAAGGAGACCAACATTAGTTTGCCAATTTTGTGTTTTGACAAGTTAGAGAATTAAAAAAACAACAACAACCCACTAGTATCATCATCATATAAGGATGGACATTTGAATTTTAAAAGGTCCAAAGATCCTATAATATCATAGGACCATCTTTTAAATGGAGCAGTTTCAGTTTTATGAGAATCTTACGGTGTTGTTTTGATTTCTCTCATCTGCCTCATTTTGACCAGACAGATCCTCAGAGTATGAGGTTTGGGGACCAGCCCAGTGTTTAGAAACCCACCCTCCTTGGATCCCTTCCTTAGGACCCCTGGGAGCTTCCCATCTGGTTATCTTGTTTGCTTCTTTAGTTATTCTTGCAGTTTGCTTTTTTAAAACTTTACTGATTACTTAAAAAATTAAAAATTAAAAAAAAAAAAGGAATCTTTGCAGACACCTGCCTGGCTCAGTTGGTAGAGCATGAGGCTCTTGATCTCTGGGTTGTGAGTTCGAGCCCCACGTTGGGTATAGAGATTACTTAAAAATAATGAACGTCAAAACTTTACTGAGTAATAATTGACAAATATAATTGTATATAGTTAAAGTGCACAGCATGATAATATGCATATATATTGTAGAATGATTGCCAAGATCAAAATAATTAACACATCCATCACCTCACATAGTTAAAACATAGTTGGCTGTGTGTGTGTGTGTGGTGAGCATGTTTAAGATCTATTCCCAACAACTTTCAAGTCTACAATAATATATTAATTATAGTTACCATGCTGTACATTAGATCTTTAGACCTTCTTTTTTAAAAATTTTTAAAAAAATTTTTTTATTTTTTTTAAGATTTTATTTATTTGACAGAGAGAGAAACACAGCGAGAGAGGGAACACAAGCAGGGGGAGTGGGAGAGGGAGAAGCATGCTCCTGGCTGAGCAAGGAGCCTGATGCGGGGCTCGATCCCAGGCCCCTGGGATCATGACCTGAGCCGAAGGCAGATGCTTAACCGACTGAGCCACCCAGGCACCCCTAAATTTTTTTTATTTTTGAGTAATCTCCACACCCAACCAGGGGCTCGAACTCACAACCCTGAAGATCAAGAGTCAGATGCTCTACCATCTGAGCCAGACAGGCGCCCCGACCTTATTCTTCTTAAAACTGAAGATTTGTACCCTTTGACCTACACCAGTCCATGTAGGTTTTCTTAACCAGGCATTCGTGGGGTCATTAGCTAATGAGAAATCACACTGTTCAAATCAGAACCTCTTGTAGCTTTTAGAAATCTCTTAGTGGTGAGTAACCTTTATCTTCCCCCACAAGAGCCAATTTCGGGGGAAAAATGATGCTTGTGGGTTGCATTTATTTTTATTCCCAATGAAAATAGCTTTGAGTCTCATGGGGGAAAATGTATTTTCTTCCAGGGTAGAATGCGTGGGCAGTCAAGGAGATTTATGCTAATGAGAGACTGGTGCTGCTTTCCAGTTACTAAAATGTTAATATCTGGCATAGTTGAGAACTAGTTACCTAGAGGCAGCTTTCTAATTCCTTACCCTAAAATTCATTGACAGGCTGAGGGTATAGGTAAAGAGAAGGGCACAAAACCATTTACTACCAGCAGGAGGCCTCATTTCTCCCCATTTGATCCATCGGACTTGTTTTGATCCCGTACAGGAAAGGAACCTGTGAAGACTTCTGCTTGTCCTTAGTACATTGCAAACTGTACATTTCAGTCAGAACGCAGGTGCTTTCTAGGGTGGAGTTAACAGCCCGTGCTCCAAACAGCTGCTGTCCTCGGGGAGTACCGGCTTCCTACGAGGTCCTTAAGGAAGCCCAGAGTGAACCTACTGGAATCGCTATTTATGAAGGCTTTAAAAAAATTACAAAAATAAGTGCTTCTGTGTTATCAGGCAGATTTTACATACAGAGATCGCAAGTCAAATTATTGTGCGGTTGAGACATCTATTTTTACTAAATCATTCAGGTCAGCTCTAGCGGACCATAACTATGACAAAGAATTTGATCCAGGGGCGCCTGGGTGGCCCAGTTGGTGAAGCATCTGTGTTGGGCTCAGGTCATGATCCCAGAGTCCTGGGATCGAGTACCCCCATGTTGGGCTTCCTGCTCGGTGGGGGTGGGGAGTCTGCTTCTCCCTCTACCCCTGCGTGTGCACGTTCTCAAATAAATAAAATCTTTTTAAAAAAGACTTAAAAAAGAATTTGATCTGATTGATGCTAAGGTGTGGTGTTTGTGCCCTGGAGTCCAACTGCGCGGGTTCGATTCGGGAGGGAGCATTGTGAACTAATTTAGTTCCTGCTGTGTGTGGCTCCTCGCGTGGAGGGACTTCCCAACAGGGTCAGTGGAGTGTGATGGGGTTAGCAAGACGTCAAAGCTGGGGACTGTTTTTAATGAGCCAGCGGAGGAGGAACAGACACCCGGTACAGCAAACTTGGAGAAATCACATGACCGAGGACACGCTTCCATATTCATTTCCTTATGCCTGCCTTTTCAGGCAAGAGCGTGCTTTGCCAGCTGAGGACTAAACAGAATTGTCTGCCAGGCCGCAATTTTCAGTTGGGTTTTCATTGTTAAAAAAATGATTTAAAAAAGCCCCAGAGTTGGGGGGAGGCACCTGACTGGCTCAGGTGGTAGAGCATGTGACTCTTGATCGGGGGGTGGTGAGGTCAAGCCCCACCTTGGGAATGGAGCCTACTTAAAAAATAATACTAAGTAAAATAATAATAATAATAATAATAATAATAATAATAATAATAATAATAATAAAAATAAACACCGGAAAACTCCTGAAAGTGGGGCCTTCGGTGGAAGCAGCAGCATTGCTGCCCTTGACATTGAGTAGAGGCCCCAAAAGCCCCAGAAGCTGCACCTCGCTTATTTAGGGCCATTTCATTAGATTTTGTGCTTTGGTAGTAAATTAAGAAAGCAGAAGAAAAAAAAAAAGATCACCTATTGGGGGGGAAAAATGCAACACATGCTAAGAGTTTATTCTATGAATAACTTTAAATCCTTGCAAGCCGTTTTTTCTGTTGACCTCTGTCGGACACCCCACCCCCACCCCACCCCGCAAACCGAAAGCTCAGCCTCGGTTTTCTGCGACAGAGAGAGGAACCGGTTTGTGGACAAAAAAGGTCTTTAATGTCCTCTCCCCCGGGGGCGTGGCAGCTGCCCGATTACAAAACAGCCCCCGCGCGGCTGTGACGTGCCGACGATCTGTTCCGGGACAGAAAACCGTGTAGGTTCGTGCCCGGGGCGCGCGGGACACCTTCCCTGGCTCCCCGGTGGCTGATGGCAGTGGACCCGCCGCCCAGTGCCTTTGAACTGCGGCCGTGCGTTTGCCCGCTTCGTTCGGCCCCCAGCGAAGACAAAGAAAACACGTTTTTGTGGTTCCCTCTCCCTGCCGAGAAACCCCGGGAAAGCCTGCTAAAGCTCTCGGAGCGGAGCTTTCTCCCCGGGACGAGGCCATTGTAGCTTCCTCACGGGGTGATGAGGATTAGAGCCGTCTTTTCGCGATCCATATAATGCTATCTCGTGAGAGCACCGAGCAAACCAATAGGGAAAAATCCCCACTGGAATTTTCCAAAGCAAACACCGCACCGAGCTGACCGCCATTGGTCATCCATGAAAGTCCTCTCCCAAGCACCACCGAGAACCACTGGGTGAACTACTTAGGCAGAGGTTCCAGAAGATTCTTCCTGCTAATTTCAGCCACAAAGCCACATTGAGACGTAAAAACACGACCCCGAAGTTGTGACCCCCACCCCCACCCCCAGTTTCTTTGCTTTCCTTCGAATGCATTTGTTGCTCTAAAGTAAATCACACGGTCCCAAAACATCCTGGATAAAAATAAATTAAGTCGTGTTTCTTTCTGAGTTGGAAATTGGCTGTTCAGCCAACCATGCTTTTTGCTAAACTCAGGGCTTTGTTTTTGCTTCTTACTGAAGCAGGTTTATAAACAGCAGAGGCAAAATGCACCAACTCAAACAGATGGCTCAAAGCGCTATTTCATTTGTCATTATTTGTTCGGGGAATATTGCAGAGCTGGGCTGCTGGGACTGCAGACCGAAAGCTAGAGGACTCGTCTTGGGCAGAAGCAGCGCTCCCTAGTTGCAGAGCCGGGGCTCAGTACTTCCCTTTTCGGCAAGGAAAATTTGACAGAAGCCAGCCTCCTCTTGCTCTTGGGACTCTAATCACAGGGGAGACCAACCAGATGACTAGGAATCTTGTTTCCACAAATGGTTGAAGGCAGTCGTGTCCGACCCCCACGTCTGTGCGGAACGCCATTTCTAACCCAGACCCCCATCGTCCCTTCCGGAGAAACACCATCCCTTCCTTTGGACCCTGACACCTTAGCCAGGAAATGCTACACTCTGGTCATTCTGCTCACACAATGAGCAATGCTCAGTGTTCCCGAATTCACCAGTTTGTTTATTTATTTATTTTCTTTTTCCTTAGAATTCTTTAAGATCCTCCTGGTCCTTCTCCGGAGAAATACGACTTGCAGTTCTCCCCGTGGAACTGCCAGCCTCGGGTCGCTGTGACCTCCTGAGCTGGCCATCCGGCAGCAGGCGTGGACTCTGTTATGCACTGCGCCTCAAGGATACCCACCGAACCGCAACGGGAACCTGGTTATCCAGCCTCATCTCTGTTGACGAAAATAATACTCGAAGCAGACTTGCCAGTTCCGGCCAAGAGGTGCGTGGGTGTTCTATTTGTTGACTCGTCTGTAGTTTTACAGTTTGGCAAACCCCCCCTCCCCCAGTTTTTTTAAAGAACAACGGTGCCCTATGGAAATGGTTTTCAAACTCTGCTGCATGTTGCATGTGGAACCTAAAAAAAATGCTACAGATTCCTGGACACACCACATCTATGCTCAGTTTCCAGGAGTGGGACGCAGAAATTGTTGCGTTTTTGTTGTTTTTTTTTTTAGAATTGTTTTAAAGATTATTTATTCATTTATTTGAGAGTGAGAGAGAGAGAGCAGAGCAAGAGAGAACACAAGTGGGGGGGAGCCGAGGGAGAGAGAGAAGCAGGCTCCCCACCGAGCAGGGAGCCCGATGTGGGGCTCGATCCCAGGACCCCGGGATCATGACCTGAGCCGAAGGCAGACGCTCAACTGAGCCACCCAGGCGCCCCTGGACATTGGGTTTTTAAAAAAGCTCCCCAGGGGTGCCTGGGTGGCTCAGATGGTTAAGCGTCTGCCTTCGGCTCAGGTCATGATCCCAGGGTCCTGGGATCGAGTCCCACATAGGGATCCCTGCTCCTTGGGAGCCTGCTTCTCCCTCTGCCTCTCTCTCTCTTTCTCTATCTCTCATGAATAAATAAAAAAATAAAAATAAAAATAAATTAAAAAGCTCCCCAGATGTTCCTCATTCAGCCAGTTCAGCATCAGCCCTTGGACCAGTTTAGAACACCACCACCTCGTAGAAGTTATTCTCTGTATATTTATGATTCTGTGTGTTTATGATTCAGCCCATACAAAGCCAAAAACCACGTTAACTCACTTAAAACCCAAAAAACTAGCAGTGTATCTGTCCATGTGGGGATTCAACCCTTTCAGTCTACCAGACATCATCACTATCCCAAGAACAACAAAAAGTCTTTTTTTAAAGTCTCTATATGTGAAAAGTGGGTCAAAACTCATTTGACAACATATAGACTATGATCCTCGTGCTGTTTTAAAGCCAAAGTTTGAAACTTTCCTAGTTTAGATTACCACACAGTCTGTGAACAGCATTTCAATATAAATGCATTTCCTTCTCAGACAATCTGGAGCTTTGATTCTGCCAGCTCTGGGGCAATTCAACTTGACAATAGTATCTTTTTCACAGTAGCATTGGCTGTTATAGGTCGTACACCAGATTTTCTTCTGATTGTCCTCGTTTTAGCTTGAATTTTCTTCTCTTGCGTGCACTCAGGGTGATCCTTTCCGTGTTTTGAAGGGAACGAGCTGAAGCCCACCCACCATGAGTCCTTACATGTACATACACACAGTCACTCCTTGGGACTGCTGACCCAGTCTGCACACTTTGTCCCTTACTTTGTTCTTGCTTCTTATTTAATGTTATTGTTTGTTTTAAAGATTTATTTATTTGAGAGAGCGAGTGAGCACACGCGCGAGTGCACGCAAGGGGGGTGGCAGGGGGGGTGGACAGAGGGAGAAGCAGGCTCCCCGCTGAGCAGGGATCCCAGGACCCTGAGATCATGACCTGAGCCGAAGGCAGACGCTTAACCCACTGAGCCACCCAGACGTCCCCTCCATTTTAATTCTAAGCAGAGAGATTTTGTTACCTTTCTTTAAACATGAAATTGGCACCGACTGTCTGTCAAGAAAGCTGGCTTTTTTATCAGAAAAGACACAAGCACATCTGAAAAAGCCCAGGGAGGACATGCCTGACACTAGCATTTCTCCGGACTGGATACAAATGAGTTTACACAAGATGAATGGCTGTGCACTTGGCGTCCAGAGTCCAGAGCTTTCCAGAGACCAGGTTGGGACCCAAAGCACCATACTCAAATCGAGAGCAACTGGAACAGACCACAGTTTAAGGCATTATCCAAAGAATGTGAGTTTGAGGGGCGCCTGGGGGGCTCAGTCAGTTAAGCCTCTGCCTTCGGCTCAGGTCATGATCTCAGGGTCCTGGGATCGAGCCCCGCATCGGGCTCCCTGCTCGGCGGGAGGCCTGCTTCTCCCTCTCCCTCTGCCCCTGCCCCTCATCCCGCTTGTACTCGTGTGCTCTCTCCCAAATAAGTAAATAAAATCTTAAAAATAAAAAAAAGAATGTGAGTTTGAGTGAGAAGTGCACTTCACACATAGAATTCGTGCTTTGGTTCCGATACCCACCCTCCCCTCCTTTCTTTAGGGTCACTTTCTTCAGTACCTGTAACATGGCTGCAGCGTTAAGTATTATTCCCGAGTGATCGTTACAGCTCAAGTCATGTCTGATGGAAACTCATCTTAACAAAGAGCAGAGGGAAATGCACATGAGAATGATTCCCACCCTGAGGCTGGCCATGGGCAGTTTAAATTCAGACCCTTTCAGAAAGCTTCATAAGGAGGCATGTCTTTAATCAGAATGACTGTGGTGGGCTTTAATATGAATAAACAGCTTTTTATTTTTTTAATGAGGGAAAACATTCCTAGTTGAGATCAAAGTTAAGAACCATACACAAAGTAAGACTGTGTTAGTTAGCATTGTTTTTCTTCTCATTCCAAGTGGTGCCTACAGGAGACCCTCATCTGAGCTACCGGTGTATAATTTTTCAGTGTACTTACTCTCACATCAGCACTAAGAAAAAGTAAAAGGCATGTTTGTTTTCAAAATTGCAACCCCACGGGGCGCCTGGGTGGCTCAGTTGGTTAAGCGACTGCCTTCGGCTCAGGTCATGATCCTGGAGTCCCAGGATCGAGTCCCGCATCGGGCTCCCTGCTCAGCAGGGAGTCTGCTTCTCCCTCTGACCCTCCTCCCTCTCATGCTCTCTGTCTCTCATTCTCTCTGTCTCAAAATAAATAAATAAAAATCTTTAAAAAAAAAAAAAAAAAAAAAAATTGCAACCCCACATCAAATTCATAACAAAAGCTGTTCCTCAGTGGGAGTACACACGAGACGAGACACACAGCGAAGACCTGTTGCAGGTTGATGTCTGGCATCATTTAAAATATGGGACAATGGGGGCACCTGGGTGGCTCAGTCATTAAGCGTCTGCCTTCGGCTCAGGTCATGGTCCTGGGGTCCTGGGATCGAGCCCCACATCGGGCTCCCTGCTCCGCGGGAAGCCTGCTTCTCCCTCTCCCACTCCCCCAGCTTGTGTTCCCTCTCTCGCTGTGTCTCTGTCAGATAAATAAATGAAATCTTAAAAAAATAAATAAAATATGGGACAATATAGTGTTTTAGGCAGCTATATTTCCTCTCTTAATCTAGACGCAAAATGTAACACTGCATTTCAGATTTAGTACTTACGTTGGTGAACAAATTCAGAACACAAAAAACCCATCCTTACTTTTCTTTTCCTGACTCACTAGTCAAATTTATTATTTTTTTAAAGATTTTATTTATTTGACAGAAAGAGAGCGTGAGCAAGCACAAGCAGGGGGAGCAGGCTTCCCCGAGCAGGGAACCAAATCTAGGGCTCGATCCCAGGGTCCTGGGATAGTGACCTGGGCTGAAGGCAGGTGCTTAACCGACTGAGCCACCCAGGCGCCCCTTGTTAGTCAAATTTAGAAGGCCAAGTTTTAACAACTGCTTTTAAACCAACCTAACACCAAACTCCAACTAGGAGATTCAGGCATGACATTATTTAGTTATGTCTCCTTTTGGTCCTAGCCTTATATTTCCAGTTCATTCTTGACTTAAAAAAAAAAAAATAAACATTCTAGAGTTAAACCAGCTTCCCTAGGATATAAATTATTACTCTTCTTCTTCTTCTCAGCCTCGGATTGATTTTTGTTTTAAAGATTTTATTTATTTATTTGACAGAGAGAGAGATAGTGAGAGCAGGAACACAAGCAGGGGGAGTGGGAGAGCGAGAAGCAGGCTTCCCGCCGAGCAGGGAGCCCGATGCGGGGCTCGATCCCAGGACCCTGGGATCATGACCTGAGCCGAAGGCAGACGCTTAACGACTGAGCCACCCAGGCGCCCCGGATTGATTTTTGTAATGATTATTGCCTATCAACTTCATAGCAGAACAGCAATTAAAAGCTTAAATGTAAATTGAAACTGATAAATTATTACTGCTCAAGAGCACTCAAAATTGTTACTCTTGGTTACTTGGCACTGTGCTTTTCTAGAGACAAAAACACAGTGAGTGGAGGGACATCCTGTAGCCATTTCTAGGTTATCATGGGTGGTAAGGTGTTTTCAATACTACGTTCTTCTCCAGCCTGCACTCCTTCCAAAACAGTATATTGGATTCTTTTCCCTGTCCAAACGGAGTATCTGCTAACCTTAGTTTAAGAAGGCTATTTCAAGTTTTTTTTTTTTTTTTTAAAGATTTTTATTTATTTATTTATTTAACAGAGATAGCACAAGTAGGCAGAGCGGCAAACAGAGGGAGAAGGAGAAGCAGGCTCTCCGCAGAGCAGGGAGCCCGATGCGGGGCTCGATCCCAGGACCCTGGGATCATGACCCGAGCTGAAGGCAGCCGCTTAACTGACTGAGCCACTCAGGCGCCCCTATTTCAGGTGTTTAATGCTGTGTCAATATGTGCCAAACAATAACTCAACATCCAATTTATCTAGCACTTGCATTACTAGCAACAACTGCTAAACCATGCTTCGGTGGCTATATTAGAAAGGCAAATCTGTTCATATTTTATTGCAAATCTAAATTTTTAGATTTTGCTTTTTAATTAAAAAGTCCAACCTTGGGGCAAAAGAGAAGGCTAACTGCAACCTAAGAAAGAGCTTGGTATGTATTTTTTCTTCTTTTTTTAAAGATTTTATTTATTTATTTGACAGAGAAAGTCACAGCGAGAGAGGGAACACAAGCAGGGGGAGTGGGAAAGGGAGAAGCAGGCTTCCTGCAGAGCAGGGAGCTCGATGTGGGGCTCGATCCCAGGACCCCGGGATCATGACCCGAGCCGAAGGCAGACGCCTAACAACTGAGCCACCCAGGTGCCCCTGTATTTTTTTCTTTTCTTTAAGTCAAAATCTGTCATGAGAGACAGTAAAAACTTGGTATTTAACACTGACTCAGGGAAGCGCCTGGGTGGCTCAGTCGGTTAAGCGTCTGCCTTCAGCTCAGGTCATGATCAGGGGGGGTCCTGGGATCGAGTCCTGCGCCGGGCTCCCTGCTCAGGGGGGAGTCTGCTTCTCCCTCTGACCCTCCCCACTGCTCGTGCTCTTTCTCAAATCTTAAAAAAAAAAACCCACAAAAACTGACTTGGTAGCTTTAGCTTGTAAGTCTTTAGCACATTCATGGTCTTAAGTCTTTAAGTCAGACTTCCTAAAGGAACATGTTAGCCTTTGGGGAATCTGTGTAAGACCTGTTTTGTAGTGAAAAAATTTATCCTAAATGCTTAAGACACTCTGAAAGTAGATGGCTGAAAGAACTAATTAATAGTCCTGCTGAGGAATATTTTCAGTAAGGGAAGGTACTCACCAAATTTGAGCAGTCACCATCTAGATTTCTGTTTTTAAACACACAGCTTGAAAAAACTCTTTGCCTATTCACCCAACAGAACACACTAATTTATATCAAGAACTAGGTCGGGGACACATCCTGAACATCTAGAGGCCTTAGGAAAATGGATTACCAAGGGCTTTTCCTCAACACACACTGAGCCCTAACTGTCGACCTGTTTGCTTGGTGCCCTGCACGTTAAGTGCTTCCTCCTGCCAACAGCCGCGGTGGAAGCAGCAGTTGGGTCCGAAGGCAAGGGGATTCTGAACCTTCGTGATGCAACGCTTCCTTCACTCTAAGACACCAGACTTAAGACCCCCAAGTTATCTTTACTTCTGAATTCCAAAGGTGTACCCCGTGTTTTAGGTGAGTGGGGAATTACATGAGAATTTGACCGATCCGGAGGGTGATGTACAGCAACACTCTTAATACATTTCCCAATCTTCACGCGAGGGAATCCCTCCAAAGGACTCCTGGAAACTCTCACAGCATCCAAAGCATTCATTTTGAGTATTTTAACATCTATACAGTTGAAAACAGAAAATGAATACGACTCTTGCTATCTTGCAGGTGACCCCCACCAGGGTACCCTTGGGGACGAATGGTGAGAAGGGGAAGGAAACCAATTGTTACACTTGTTCTCACCCAGGGAGTGCTTCGACAGACACGCAGTGAGGCCTGGGCAGCAGAATACTGGTGCGGAGTCTGCTCGGCGTCTTAACTGTAGTGTGCGTGGAAAGAAAACTGGAGGCTCGGACGCAGAACCATCTCCAGAGAACCGCTTATACAGGGCACTCCTGTAATAGTTTGAGGACTCCTCAAAGGTTCAGTTCCATGAGACTTTTTCTTCATAAACAACTTGTAAATTGGCCAGCTTTATTGCTAATTACACATAAAAACAGGGTTTCTCTACACCGCTAGGTTAATGGAAAAATAAGCCACACGAGAAAAGCCCAACACAATGAAAAACTTCTACTTCCAGATATTAAAAAAGAGGTATTCGCCATGGGTTACTACGAAATGGGATTGCCCACATTTTGATACAATTCCTGAAATTTCAGTCTGTAATTTTGCTTACTGGGGCACCATGTAGTAAGATGGCATCTTTGGATGAAATGTGGTATATTTAAAATGTTGATGGAGCACAAGGAGATGACCTCTCATTTTCAGAAGACAGTTAAAAGCATTCCCACTATACTCTGGAGTCTTATAGTTTAAATGGACTTGCCTTTCAAATCAAGTGATTTTTATAGGGGTCTGATATTTATGGACAGAAGTTTGTGGTTGAAGAAATTCCCTTTGAGACTTTTATCCCTAAAGAAAATGATTTATGAAAACCTTTTATGTAACCCCCAACTTTAAATGTTTAGGTATATAGATAGTAAAAATTTAACTGTTGTTAATTTTTTACCGACCTGTAAGTTGTCAGTTCAAAATATCGGTGGCTATGTACATTTTCATTCAATTAGGTGTATTCATGTAGCTAAGAATAAAGTTCAAATGGTTTAATCCAAGTGCAGTTTTCCAAAATGCAGAACGGTGGTTAAGTATCAGTCTTTTGATTCTATTTTTCAGAAATGTACAAATCTGAGCTAGATCTTTAGCAGTACCCCAACTTAAAGGACACACCAACAGGCTTCTGTGGCAATCCTATTTCTTTGGAACACTGCAACAAAGAATTGCTTTTCAGATACTAAAAAGCAGAGCAGATGCAATCTGCTGGAGAATTAACTGAATTGTCACTTCTAGGACTCCCCTTAAAACGTGACCTGCTGCACTTCTGATATTTAAATGAAACTTGAAACACCAGAGTGTTTGCCAAATCTCCATTTTAGACTGAACTGTTAAGGCAGCAATTAGATCACAACTCAATTTTTGAACTGCTTAGATGTGAATATACTTTGGAGATACAAAGGAGGGCCAAATTCCTCTATTTGTAAACACTTCCCTTTTTAAGATCCCATTAAATCTATTACACCTCTAATTTACCTCCGTTTAGATATCTATTTTAATAAATAAAAGGGAAAGCCGAAAGTTAATTTATAAAGTTTTATTTTTGTATATGTGCTAAATCTTAGGAACTGTGGACAATCTTCAGTCTGTTGGCTTGTAAAAGGCTGAGAAGTGTGTGATCTGGGTGCTGAATTTCCTTTGGGGAATCTGGATTTCAAAAAAAAAATCACTCATTTGCAAGTTTAAAACATGGTGCACCTTTCCCCTTTTTCTTACACCTATGAATTTGGAGGAAAAGTGCTACATTTCTGCAAATGTAAAATAATTGTTATAAATACAGTTGGCAGCAAGTTCTTAATACATTTAGCACTTTTTGTAGTGATGTATCACACCCAAAACCTTATTTTCAAACACTAAACACTCATGTAGGTGCAGGACCAATTTTAGGTGAGCACCACTATAAAACCAGTACTACTTTTTTTTTTCCTTAGTAACACAAAAAACGGGGTGGGGTGGGGCGGGAAGGAGGTTGTTTTCCTTTCTCTGCAGTATGTAGTACCTTCCAGCTAGAGACAGACAAAGTTGGGCACTTCTTACAAGGAAAAGGCAATTTTCTTATCCAGTTAGTTAGAATTCTAAATAAGGCAGGATATATCCACCAAATTAACCACAAAATTCAGCAAAGTAAGAGTTCATGGGAGAACGGAAGCTGGAAAAATACCAAGAAAAAGTAAAAGAAACCATTTTGTTGGGAGTAGTCATCAGAAAATTCACAGACTATTGCTTTCATTTACAAACATAATTTCAGTAAAAAAGGCTCCTCTTCTTTTTAACCACTACTAGGATTAAATAAGTTATCATTCACTAATAAAAGTTAATCATGAAAAAAATAAAACATTTTAATAATTCTAAATTTGTATATAACAGCTAAAAGACACAAGGTTGGGAAATTATGTTATTTCTGCCTCTACAATGCTGAGCATGAAAATTTGGTTGGTGGAGGGCTTAGAAACAGCAGCGATACGGTTTTTACGAAGTTGTGCACGGAAATACTTCGATCCAACAGGGCAAAGCCCTTGTTCACAGATTAACAATGAAAATAGCTTTAGTCTTTTTGTTAACAGATTCTATGGTTTTCTATGAAGTTATCATGCCATTTAGAATCCTGGGGGGTACTTCTTTGAAAGGAAGACTAGTGATTCTGAAACAAACATTTGAAGTACGAATTATATATATGGCTCAAGAAATCAGTTGAGGGAGAATTAAAGATAGGCACCTTGAAGACTTGGAAGTTTAAAATGTGCCATTGATGTTCAGAAAAAAAACCTCAACACCACCACGTTGCTCTTACAATAACATGCGCCTTAAAATTTCCGCTTATATGTTAATGCTTGCTTAAGAAGTTAAAGAGAGAAAACCATTCACACAAACAAAAATAAATCTCCCTGTTCACTTTCCCTTGATCCTGGGGACAACACAGAAGCTCTTCCACAAACGGAGGGAAAAGGATTCACAAGCCCTCACCTGGCACAAGGGGAATTGTCAATTCAAAGCAACCAAGATGGGATCGCCCTCCAAGGAGAAAAATTCACAGCCTTTTCAAATGTCAAGTTTTCCATGTCTAGGAAGTCATTAAAGTTTTTAAATTAAGTACATCACATACTTTAAGGAGCGGGAAATACAAAAACCACCTCTCCTCATCTGGTGAGAAGGTGTATTTAAGGATAGCAAATTGTCCAAATAAAGTCAACCTATTTTGCTCATTGCTAAAGAGGCCTGGAATTGAGGAACTTTCAAATTAAAACTACCACCTGGAATTGCGAAGTGTGTAGGACTTTTGCTCAAACTTAAACTCAGATGTAATATACTTAAGGTAAAAACAGGATCTGTCTGGTGTCAAAATTTCCTAATATTACAGAAAACCTAGAAGCACAGATGGGACTATAGAGTACTGCAAATAAGATACCCAAAGCTTTATCTTAAATACCTGCCCCTTTTAATCACAAAATAAAGCAATTCTCAATTTTGTTTCTGCTTTGTTCAGTTCCAACTATAGCCTTTGACAAAACATTTTCCTATTTAACTAAATTGTAAAAAATACAACCAAGCTTGTGCTCATTAAATATACATGTATATAAAAAACATACAAAAAGTACAAGATTGATTATGTTAGGAAACTTTTACAGTGTCAACATCCTGTTTTCTCTAAATCTTTAGTCAAGGGCCAAAGGTCAAATCTTTCTGTGCACAAAAACTCGATGTGACTGAACTCCTGAATTCAGTGTCATGCCTAAGCACGCTATGCACAGAATTTTATTATGCAGTCCTCAAAAAAAAAGGACAAAAAAAGGAAAAAAAAAAAAAAGGAAAAAAAAAAAACCAAAAACCAACCCAAAAACAAAACCAAAAACACACCACAGGACAAAAAGTTCTTCATAAATCAAATTCTATTTGTGAATTCAGCAAAATAATTTCTATAAAATAAAACAGCAAAATATTTAAATAGAATAGGGTGGACTGTATCTGCAGGGGTATTTGGTTTTTAGACAGGTTCCAAAAATTACACACATTCAAGTTACCAATTCTCTTTTAAATACAGTATTAACTGATGAGTTCCTTATCTTTAATTAAATGTTTATGCTGAAATTATGATACCTCAATTAGATTAACTAACCAGTAGTTTCCTTTTTAATCAAGACCCTGCTTCGAACATTCAAAGTTTTGGAATAATGGAAAAGGAGCTAGGACAATTCTTGCTTTCAAGTAAAACTGTGCCTGAGCAGAAACTCAGCTAGACATCTTGGTGCAGTGGCGCTCCAAGTATTGTGGGATTCTGGTGACTTCCACTTCACTGGGGTCCAGCAGAAGGAAAGTTTTAGAAGATTCACCTAATAAGCTCTACCAAAGAAACAAAACAAGCACACCAAATACAGTCTTCTATTATGCTCCAAGCATCCTGGCATAGCAAATTTTTGCATATTTGTTTTAAATCTTTAAAAATTCCCATTACTGATACTTAAATTTCTTTATCCCACCCAGAGATCAAACTGTCAAACATTAGACATAAACAACATGTGTGTAACTGAAAACCGCCTGTTTATCATATCACATTTCTCCCCTTGTTTTATATTTATATTCTAGGTGTAAGAAGGAAAAGCTCTGAGCAAATCAGCTGTCACACTGGGACAACTGCTGTCATTATGGTAATTTTTTTCCTCATTGGCTACACTAACCTGGTGTGAAGCCATGCTAAATGTTACAGCATAACTATAGCTTCAAAGTGATTAACCTAATATCAGAATTAAAAAGGCAATGAAAAAGATCTAGAAACAATGTTACATCACCAATTGTCCACATCAACCAAATAATTTAAAGGTTACCAGCCTTACATCATTGCTCATAATAAAACTGACTCCAGTGGCAAAGAATTAACATGAAACTATTGGTGTGGTTGACATGGATGGGCTCTGTTTTTGTTGCTGTTGGTTTATTTTTTTTTGTTTTTGTAAAGGAGTAGATCCAACTGCCATGAGGCAGGCAACACTGGTTGCAGAGTGCAGTGGGTAGAACAAGAAAATTAACTTTTGTAGTTTTTGTAGATCTGTGAGTCTCCTCAAGAAAAGTTTCTTGCTTAAGAATTAACAGTCAAACATTAATATACTATATACACCTTTGCCATTTACACATTAGCATCAGGCCATTTATTACAAAACACTATACACTTTCCACTGCAGGCGGGTTATATATTGACAGCAAATTTCTGCAGATAAGACAGTGAATAAACTCTCCACTCCATGTTGATTAGGAATAGTTTTTCTAGTTTTAAATTATTAGCCAGACACAGAAAAAGGTTGGACTGTAAGGCCTGGGTGCACAGTCTTGATGGAACCAGTTAATTATGTGCATTTCACTGATCCTTCGTCTGAGGTGGGGATACTTCTTCACTGCCTTCATAATTTTCTTGTGCTCGTTGGCCAGTTCTCTGAGGGTTGTTCATGTGATGTGCTGCTGGGCCTGTATATGGCTGTCCATGCACATGGTTATTCTGGGAGGGGAGAAGAGATCGATGTTAAAACTTTTCATATAGTGAAGAAATCATGGGCTGAAATCTGTGGACACATAAACATTTCTTTTATTCCCGAACTTACAAAGAGTAAATATCCTTAGGCTAATGGTGAAAAAGAAAAAAAAAATTCGTTTCAAAGAGGAAAGCTAGGGACACCTGGGTGGCTCAGTTGGTTAAGCGTCTGCCTTCAGCTCAGGTCATGATCTCAGGGTCCTGGGATCCAGTCCCACATTGGGCTCCCTGCTCAGTGGGGAATCTGCTTCTCCCTCTCCCCTCTACTGTTCCCCCTGCTTATGCTCTCACGTTGACAAATAAATAAAATCTTAAAAAAAAAAAAAGCTAGCTTAAATGCAAACCCCGAAACCCCAAACAAAAGCAGTGTAGATCTCTATGAATCTTTACCTGAAGTGATTTTTAGTGCCCCAAATTAT